TCAGTTGGTAGTAAGACTGCAAAACAGACTCCGCTCTAGTTTAATTTTAATTCACTGTTCCCTCCTTTGGATTTAATTCTCATGCACTTCACCTCCACCTGTTGGATTCGTGTTAAGAAAGCAGACAGGTGCTGAAAACCTGCAGCTGAAGTGGGCCGCAGTGACATTTATAGTCCTTGACTTGATCTGAAATAAAACTGTCCTCTGCTATAATTCAACACATCAAGCTGCAGTTTATAGAACTCCAGGTTTGTTGTTTCTGATCTTTTTTTTTAATGTTTTTGCATATTTTCTTGTTCTACACTGCAGCATGTTACACCCGGAATGAGATAAAATAAAATAAAATGAGTGTCTTCCTGTTGTCAGCGTATGCAGAGCCACACGTCTCTTAAAAAAAAAAAAAAAAAAACAACTTCTGTGTCATCGTATGAATAGTTATGAACCAGAGAGCTCCCAACGTTGGTCCCAAACTGTGCAAAAAGGTCACTACTGCACAAATCACAGCACCATTCATCATGAATATAAAGTTGTACAGTACAAGTGGTGATAAAATCTTTAAAAACTGGAGCAATATCGACCGAGTAAAGTAAATCCACAGTCTGCTCATTTACACACAACACACAGAGCAGTGGAACGATTTAGGCAAAAAATGTTCACACATTTACGACAAGATAAAAGTCCAAACTTGATACATTCAGCTTTAACAGCATCATCACTCTGATGAGTTTTAAACACATTTTGCTTGAAGTGTATAAACCTTTCAAATCTTAATGGAGAGCACTGATACAGACCACCCAAAACCACAAAAGGAACACCATTAGATTAAACAGGAGAAGTGCATATGGCACATTATATGCCCATCGACAATTATACAGCAATCTCAAGAAATGGCTCCTTCAAGCAAAGACCTTATATGAAAACAACATTGATTTGTGACCTTTAGCTTAGATCTGGCGTGATGAAAAGATCACCCGACTCCGTCTAGTGAAGTTGCATAAGTGTAAGACGTTTCATTAAATTATCTTGAGCAGATCAGGAGTTACGGCCCTACACATTCCGAAACACCAAATTTGTTTCCACATAAACCAAAGGAAACTAAACACGCCAGCTGCTTCCTTTACTTTCAGAAAACACAACCCAGTCTTTTCAAGTCTAGCTGTCTTTATTTTCACGTTTGCACACACTCTAATTTAAGACAAATGAAGAACGCAGACAGCCACAGTATGATTTTCTTCTGCAGTCATGCATGTGGAATATGTGCAGGATGTGTAATGTTTCAAAAGATCCATGCACGTCTCTGCAGAAGCCTTGAATGCACAAAATGTTGCAATGTTTTTGTCAGTGTGAATGCGATCATTACAACTGATATCAAGTTCAAAAGTTTCTATGATGATATGATAGCACTGAGTGAAGTCCTTTTTTTTTTTTTTGTCTGGAGCAGTCTGTATTCACATCTTACGAATGAGAAAACACGGATCTGTTGGATATTAATGCAGTGTAACAATAGTGAGGCCTCAGAGCAGGAAGTCGAGGCTGTTTCTGCACAAGGTGAACAGAGGAATTTGCACAATAAAGTCTTAATGACATTTCTGAGTGTGCTGCAGTGCTTAACTTTAGGTTTTAATCCCTAACCCATGTGGTTTTATCGCTCATCGACAGCTTTTAATACATTAATGTCCAAGAGATCAGAGCGTCCACTCAGGTCCTTAATGCACTGAAACTCTGGATCTATTGAATTTTTAATGATAACGTGCTTTGTAGAAAGAGAAAAAAAAAACATTGTTAGTGCTGGAAATCTATTTTTTAACATCCTCAGGTGTTGATATAGAAGACCTGCTGCCTTTCTTTGACGTGTATTTCACACAATGTTTTGTGTATCATGAGTGTATTTTTTTAATCTCAGCTCTAGCATTTAATTTTTACATTCTTAATATTTTTGTAATGTGTCACAGAGTTAAAAATAATGAGTAAATATTTCCAAACCAAACTAGACTGATGAGATAAATAATAATAATAAAAAATAATCTTTTGATTATAATGTCTAAAACAAAATCAATTCAAAGTCAAGAATTTATATATTTTGTTGCAAAAGGTTATATCATCCCAATTCTTTGGTTAGGAGAAAAAAACACTGTACAAAGTGAAGAAAGAAATTATGAAAATTTATTAACCTTTATTTAACCAGGCAAATCCCATTGAGATCACAGATCTTTTGCAAAGATGGTCTGGGCTACAAGCATCTATGTAATATTTGATTCCCAATGTGCTGTGGGTTGTGAAACACCAAGAAGACCTACAAAAACCACACATATTAAAAAAAAAGGTTGTCAATGTATTTCACTGGATAAAAGTATATGTTTAATTAGACTTTGTTAAATGACCCAAGAATCTTTTATACAATTCAACCAGTAATAGTTGAGGTCATGAGTCTGTAACTTTTATAAAGTGGACCAAAAGCTGAAAAGTTTAGAAACATTTGTTTTAGAGTACAGTAGTCCCTCGATACTTTGCGGTTCGACTTTCGCGGACAATGACAAGAACCAGTTTTGGATCAGCACAACAACACCAGTATACAGAAATGGTTTAAATATGTTCATTAAAAACACGCCGCTTCTTATCAAGGTCTGGATCCTGGGGCCGATCCGATCGGTCAAGACAGAAGAGTTAGTGGACTGGTTCTTGGAACAGAGAAGCTGAGAGGTTCTGAAGTAAACACTAACCTTCTGTCTTGATGGTTTGACTTGTAATCTCGCTGTTGCCGGTGACGTCACTCAGGGAGAGTGAACTGCAACAGCGGCGCGGTCCAGGCTTGTCGAGTCCAGAAAGGAGGAGAATCCAGGTTCGTGGTCCAGTAGACGTAGCAAGGTTCAACACGGGTGAGCAGAGAGGAGAAGCCAGAGCCAAAATGTAATCCAAAGGGAAAGTCATGAGGCAGTCATGGTCGTTACCGTGGTCAGAAGGGCGGACAATCCAAACAGGGCAAGGCAAGGAGGAGTCAACAAACAGGCAGAGGTTTGTGGTCGAGGCAAGAGTCAACAAACAAGGAAAGCTGGATTTCTATTACTTCAACAGGTTCAAGAATCTGGCAGTGAATGAAGGTGAGCAGGGAGCTGAAGTAGGGAGGTGAACAGGTGCAGTGAATGAAGGCTGATTGCAGAAACCAGGCAGAGGGAGAGCGGAGCAGAGTGATTGACATGAGCTGGAAATACTTTGCAGGGAAAACAAAAACTTGACAGAGGCAGGTGAGGGGCAAAAACGTGACAGACTCTTTTGTGAATTTTCAACGTAATATTGTGCACATTGTTTCCCGGTGGCCTGGCCCGCTCAGTGATCGCCGAGAGGCCCCCTCCTTTCTCTTTCTGAGGCTCTGTCACAGCAGAGCAGAGGAACACAACAGGTGGGTGTGCAATCTGCTTTGTGTCTCTGCTCTGTGTTGACAGCCTCAGAAAGAGAAAGGAGGGGGCAGGGGTGGGGTCTGTCTTTTCCCATTGCTGCTGTAGGAGCTTCAGTGAGGCGGATACCAGAGTGAGCGGCATGGATAGTTTCTTTAAAATAATCAATCACGACCCAAACCAAGCCCAGTCCGCTCCCGGGTGCTGATTGCCTCAATAACCGTAGCATCAATCTGTCTGCTTTCTTTTGCTGTGTTCTTTTAGAGCATTTCGAGTTTAGAACATTGCTGAGAACATTGCAAGAGTGTGGGAAGGGTTTATAAAACCTTAATATGCATATATAATGCCCCTACTTCACGGATTTTCACTTATTGTCTGGAACGTAACCCCCGCGATAAGTGAGGGACTCTTGTAAGGCTTTAGATTCAATATGAAAGAATATGTCTGCAGAAAAATAAAAATTGAATTATTTACAATAAATTACCTCAAATGAGAACATTACCTCATATCAGAAAACCCTCCCTCGATACAACAAACGTGAGTTGACCTGTGATGTTTAAAGGACTATTTTTTGCAAAATTCTCGACAGCAAAGAAAATCATCAGCCTTTTCTATCAGTTCATCTATAGGTTAAAGTAACTCTGAGTGGTTATAAGTTTTTGAGTCAAAAATGATTGATGTGAAACTCATTGAGGAGTTGAGGACCATGAATGATTGAAGGTGAAGAGCAGCCTAAATCACTCTCAGGGGAAGGACCTCCACTGTAGTCGAGATGAGATGAGGAAGCTCTCACATCTGCTCATCTGTTAACAGAGCAGAAAGTCACATCTGTATCCCAAAACAAAGTCACAAAGGAAAAGTGTGTGATAACTTATTTAGTGTCTTTTATCTGTTTGGAGCTGTTTCCCACTAATTGAGCTCATGCTGTCCAGTATTGTTTTATTGTCTCTCCTCAAACACACAGCCATCTGTCTTCACTGCTCTTTTTACATCCTCTCAAGAGACTAGGGCTTACAATGCTTCCAGCTCTTTTAGTTTCAACCAGAGACTTCACAAACACACCTGTGGATAAACAAGCACATTTCGGGGAGTGTCTGCAGACTCTAAATATCTGACAGGATGTTTTTGGAGAGATGCACGCGTCATATAAATCAGGAGCTGCTCCTCCCTTGGACTGGGTCCACTCGCACAGAGGGCAGCTCTCAGTCACACATGTGACTCTGCAGAAACAAGGACTCCATCCACTTCATCTTTTTTACCTGTTAAGGAGAATCAAGATTATTATTTTTTTCCTGTTAGGACTCAACTCCGAAGAAACGACCCACGTGACTCAGACCCACAGGACCAGACACTGTGTGGGAACTTCTTTTGGTTTGTTTTTCAGACTCATTCTGGACAAGGAGGATGTCAGTCTTGTTGGTTCACTCTCCGGGGATCAGCTCGTGAGTCATCCCGTGTCTGTGCTCGGGGAGCGTGCGCGTTTTCTGGTGATGCTTTGCGTCTGGCGCGCGTTCGGACTCCAATCCGAACCAGTTCCGACGACTGTGTAAACTAAAGTCAAAGTAAAGCAGATAAATATGAGCAGTCTAAGCGGGGGTGTCTCAGTCCATGCCCCGACACTGAAACAGGGAGCTGCTCCCCCCTCGCCGTGTCGGGGCTGAGCGCGCGCGCACTCATCCAGCCGGCAGCATCATGACTTCAGCTCTGCCTCCGTCCAAGGCGCTCTACATCGGGATGGAGGTGGTGATCGCCGTGTCCTCCGTGGTCGGGAACGTGATGGTGGTGTGGGCCGTGCGGATCAACCGCTCTCTGCGGGACACCACCTTCTGCTTCATCGTCTCCCTGGCCTTGGCTGACATTGCGGTGGGGGCTCTCGTCATCCCGCTCGCCATCACCATCAGCATCGGACTCCAGACGCACTTCTACAGCTGCCTGCTGTTCGCCTGCACCGTGCTCGTCCTCACGCAAAGTTCCATCCTGGCGCTGCTGGCCATCGCCATGGATCGCTACCTGCGCGTCAAAATACCCATGAGGTAGGCCTAAAGGTGAAGTCCACTCAAGTTCTTCTTTTCTCATTCATGTCTTGCCTTGTGGGTTTTTTTTTTTTGTGTGTGGAGCCTTTGTGTCTGCGTTGGACCAAGGACACCGTCAGGCTCCAGCTGTCTGCAGACTGCTGGGGCACATTCGGGTTTAAATGAGCACAACTGAATCAGACCAACATTAATCTGGTTTATATTTGTATATGAATCAGCGACAGGCAGCTCACTATCAGAACTTTAAAAATGAGTTTGCAACACAGTTTCAAACAATTTATTCCCTTTTTCTGGGGATTGACAAGCAAAAACTGAACTTATTATGAGTGCCATAAACTGTTCATCCAAAAAAAAATAAAAATTTACACTATAAAATTAAACGACTATAATAAATTGTTGACATTTACAAGGTTGTTCATGTTAGGACATAAAAACTGATCAAACTCTCAGAAAATAGTTTAAAAATAAAAAAAAACACTGAATTATGACTACCTTTATGAGTCCAAAGTTGTAGAGATGTAATCTCGGCATCCGAATAAATTACTTGTGTGAACATTAACATTAATTGGATATTTAATTGCAAATATATATCCTCACAAAGATAGATATTGACTTTAACAGTTCTGTTTTTAGGTCTTTACTTGAACTCCTCGTCAAAATGACGCCTTTTGCAAAATGTCTTATTTTGTTTGAAGCCTTGTGTGATAGTAATAGGTTTACAAAACTACAAGTTGTGTTTCCTCCACTGCAGCTCACCTCTAATGTGTTCACTATTTTTATTTTTATGGCTGAACTATAAATTATTAGTGACTATAGGTCAAACCAACTCTTTGCTCCCAGTCTTAATAGTCTCTGTTATGATTTCTTTTTACATTGGACCAAAGAATGGCCATTGCCTCCCTTAGTGTGGTCAGTTTTTTTTTTTTTTTGTCAAAGCTACAAAGAACTGCAGAGTCCAAAGAGCCATTATGTGGCCCCAGAGCCCCAGATTGCAGATTGTTAAAGTAAGCATTAAAAATACACATTTAAAGGTTTCAGAAGTAGATAACATTGGAATATTCTGCACAATTGTCTGTAGGTGAAACAGGCATTACTCTTTTGAGAGTTTTAGTTTTTAAATTGGGTGCATTTTTTTTTATGTCAAGTCCAGTTTCACTTCAACTTGAGCCACTTGACTCAGTCTGTCAGTGAACGCATGATTGGTCAATAGGCTCCTGGCGGCTGCTTCCTGGATTGCATAATTTGTCAGGCTGCGAAACAGACAGAGAGAAGCTGACTGATAGTGGAACACAGTCCACTCTGTCAGTGAGGGGACATTCAGACAGGTTACAGTAACATTACCAGCTTTGTTCTTCTGAATCCCTCTGCCCTCTTTCATTAGTGCTGACATTACATGATGAGAAACAATCAGTATTTATATCATGTATTTATGTGATAAATACGGTACAGTAGTCCCTCGATACTTCACAGTTTGACTTTCGTGGACTCACTCTTTTGTGGGTTTTCAATGTAAGGTTGTACACAACACTCGATTGTCAACTTTAATATTATGTGATTGGGACGGTACGGGGGAAAAAATTACTGGAACAGACGAGAGCATGCAGGAATCAACCAATAGGACAAAACAAAAATACTTCAGACAGGCACCACCAATTTGTAGTTTTCTTTAAATAAGCTTACACTGTAACGCAAGTCAAAAGAACTACAGCCCAGAAGCCAACAGTGCTTCCAGCTAGGGATGGGGCTGATCCGATCCAGTATCGGCCTCCGATACCTGCATCATTTACGTATCGGATTTTTCCAATCCAACCTGCAGAGCTTTCCGATCCATGATGCATGTTTGTGTCTGTTGAAACGTCTCCTCGTGTGATTCCCTGCCAGCTGCTCTGCAAGTTGGCTTCAAACTATGGAAAGGATTTCCTGAACGGAGGCGTGTCTCATGAAACCCAGAGTAATAAGACCCGCCTCACATTCAGGAAATCCAGTTCATAGTTTGCAGCCAGCTACAACCTGAGTAAATACGTGTGGACTGAGAGCACTGTGGCTAACGACTAACCAACTTTTCATCATAACATGTCCGCTGTGTGGAAGTATTTTACACTAAACACCGCAAGCAATGTCCGCAGAGCTGCTGTACCGAGAGGGGGAAGCTCAGTCGAGACCTACAATACATCAAACTTAATAAACATTTGAAAAAGCACCACATTAAAAGAGCAGGAGGATTGTTTAGTCAGTAAAGTTAGTTTTACATTGGACTTTCGAGCTCCGTGGCTTCAGCGGTGTGCTCCTCTCGTTCAGTCCGAAGTAGGCAGTCTGATTTCGGTCAGCCGCGCTCAGTCTGCCCGTCTCAGAGGAGGAGCAGACGGAGCGCAGCTGACCGAAATCAGACTGCCGGCGTCGCAGCTTCATTGAATATTTGCAGCCAAAATATAATTTACGTTTACCCTCCAGGAAATATTTATCAGTACAACAGTAGATCATAAAAAAACAAACATATGAATTGAAGAATAAAAGAAAATTATATTAAAAAAATGAAACAAAAACTGCTACTTTATAAAGTGATGTAAAATACTGAAAACGGGAACATGTCTGGTTTTTGCCATGAACTTAGCAGATGTTTGAAGCCATTTAATCACTTTAATATCCACTTCGGCGTATTGTTTTTATGCTTCATGTATTATTTAGTGGATGTTTTTCTTAGTTCATATCTTAGATCTTATTGCTGTTTTTCTTTTACATTTTATTGTAGGATGTAACTGGGACTCTGTGTACATAATCTGGTTCCACCACATGTACCACATGTGGTGTGTATGACAATAAAACTCTCTGACTTTAAAGCTAGGAATAAAAAAACATGTTTTGTGTTAGCCGAAATTCGAAGAACAGCAATGGAGGAGCAAACACTATCGGAGAAACCGATGTGATAAGAATAGATTTGCAACGCAAAGTTTGAAGTAACGATCTATCTAAGCTCTCGTACAGAACTGTCAGGAAAGTCACAATCCTGAAGACACCCATATCTAACTGCTTCCCAGGTGCTTACATACCCACTGCGCCACCTGGGTGTATCTTGTACGGTGGGTTAAAACAATGACATACAGCTCTTTCACTTCTATTCAACATCTCGACATGTTTGGATTTCAGACAAGAGATCATTTCATTTTACTGTCGCTGTAAATTAAGACTAATCCTCCGCCCGCCCCTCTTTCTGTACCCCCCTCCCCAGGTTACTCTGGAGGGACACAGTTTAAGCACTGATCTTTTTATAGCTGAGGTGTTTGGAGCAGAGGCTTAATGACAAGGATGGTCTGAGATTTGAAAGTTTCCCATGCCATGCTGGTATGAGGGACTTGGGCAGGATTTGCAGGTGGAAGACGAGGATTGCAATGCCTGAGAGGGGCGGCGAGTGATGGACAGACAACAGTCAAAATCCTGAAAGCAAACCTTGGCAGATGGAGAGCTGATCTGTATGCAGGCAGACGGCAAAAGCTTTTTACCAGCAGCTGCAGGAGTTGAGTTCCACAAGTTCAGTATAAAAAATTATGTTATTAGGGCAGAATCTCATATAACTTTATTTATTTATTTAATTCTGTGTCTGCCTCAACCACATAAGCTCATTCTGTAAGAACCCTTTTTGCCACAAACTCAGAGTCAAGGACATTCAGGGACAGAAAAATGACGAAAAGAGAAAGAAACATGGTGGTGGTGGTGGTGGTGGGGGGGTCTTTGTGTGTTCCCGAGTCTCACTGTGAGATTACAGCAGGCGATTGTGATAAGAGAAACACCCTGCGCATGACTGATAATGTTTGATCATCGCTTTCATCTGATTGAATCAACTCAAAATCTTGAAAATTAATAACTCAGCTGAAGCAAATAAACCAGCTGACAGAACGACCTTAAACATCCGTCAACATCTGTTACAAGTGAATAACTTACAGCCCAGTGTGTAAAACACAAGGTCCTATCAATTTCAATTCAATTCAGTTTATTTATAAAGCGTCAAGTCACGACAGAAGTTAACAGAAGTTACCTCACGGCGCTGAACAAATACGTTCACGTACATTATAAATGGCATTTAGTAAAGGAAGGAAGCCAGCAAGGCTTCCTTTCAAGGCTGCAGGTAACTTGAAAAGATTTCAACAACTACAGCTTCTGATTTTCTCATCTGAAATATGGGGATAACTTAATTAATGACCACCATCAATACAGTTATATGTAGAAGGAAGAAAAACTAATAAAATTGTAAAGAATGAATGGTACTGGTACATCTAATGCTGGATTCAAAGGGCACCAAACGCATTTAGCTGCCGGAGACCTTCAAGGTTTTGTATGTCAAGTAGTTTCAGGCAGCTTAATGAGGCCAGTCGTTAGCAAACTTTAGCTAGATATTGCCTTGCGAGGGATTTTTCAAGGCCAATTTATTAGCTCATTATTATATTATAATTCATGGTCTGAGGCACGAGGTTCTCCTGAGATCCATTTGTTCGAAAAGACTCCACATTTACTGTGTGCTTCGTTTTATTGATTGTCTAAATGATCACAATTAAGTCATTTAATCCTAAACAACTGTAACCAGAAAGCTAAAATAACCACACTTTATTAATTCAAATTTCCGAATACATTACATAATTAATTTCCCCAATGGGGATTAATGGATTACAAAACAAAAACAAAAAAACATTAGTTTCATCAAGGTTCATGCTCAATAATCCAGGTAAAAAAATCCAATAAAGTTTAAATCAGGTCATCAGGACGGTTTCTTTTTTTTTTTTTTGGTTGAGACGTTTCGTCCTTCATCCAAAGGACTTCATCAATCTGCGGAGCCATAAACTGCGTCCAACAAGCAGCACACTCCCATAGTGGACGAACCAGTTAAAGATTACAGTAGTCCCTCGTTTATCACGGGGAATCTGTACCCTGAAAACCCACGATGAGTGAAAAACCGCGAAGTAGGAATAATAATACAAGTAGTAATTAGTAGTTTATTTTCTTATTTATATAGAGGCATATTAAGGTGTTTTAAACCCTTTACTCTTGCAATATTCTAAATGTTTTTTAAGCTCTAAACGCTGTAAAAGGGCACAGAATGTCATGATTTTAGCTCCGGGCCTCCTCTGCTCTTTGCCACCTAGCTCTCTTGGCCACGCCCACTTCTCCGCTCTGCACGATGAACATTCTGATCAGCTGCAGCAGGAAGTTTATCCTGCAGCGGTAAGTGCTGCACAAAAGTTCAGGAGGAAGCTTTTTCTGCTGCGCCGGGCTGCACAAATGTGCAGCACATGCTAAATAATTTTAAATAATTTATTTTAAATAAAAATTTCATGCCGATTGTGCGGCTCATCCATCAATCCGCCAATTGTGTTTCATGTCCAATCTTATTTTGAAAAACCGCGATCGAGCGAATCCGCGATAAACGACCCGCGAAGTCGCGAGGGACTACTGTATTTATTAAAGATTAAAGTGGACTGGTTGGTCCACTATGGAAGTGTGCTGCTTGTGGGGTACAGTTTGTTTGTGGCTCCTCAGATTGATGAAGTCCTTTGGATGAAGGGTGAAACATCTCTTTACAAAAAACAAAACAAAACAAAAAAAACACGAAAGAAACCATCCAGATGACCTGACTGAACTTTGTTGGGTACAATATTAGTTGCTACTTCTTCTTTTGGGGCCAAGATGGGGTAGAGGTAGGGCAGCCGACGGTTCGTCTCCCAGCCATTCCCATGTTGTGGTGTCTCTGAGCAAGATACCCAATCTCCAGTTGCTACCTGGGTGCCCATAGCTGTCCACCGCTCCACCTGGGTGCATCTCAGGTGCGATGGGTTAAATGCAGAGAACTAATTTTGCCATTGTATGGGAACATACAGTGATGACAATCTCAGACTTCCCTCCCTTCGCTTCTTCTTTTGACTTTTCGTTTTCAGTGTTTGGCACAGCGTGTCATCCTCAGATGAACTCGCAGTTTCGTTTTGGCAAAAGTGTTTTATGTCGGTTGTCTTTCCTGACACAACCCTCACCATTTTTCCAGACTTGGGACCGGCACAAGAGATAGAGTGGGTTGTGCTCCCTAATGGCTTGTTTATACAATATTAAATCCATCCATCCATTATCTTTACCCGCTTATTCCATTTTGGGTCACGGGGGTCGCTGGTGCCCATGTCCAGCAATCACTGTGCGAGGGGCGGGGTACACCCTGGACGGGTCGCAAGTCCATCACAGGGCCACATAGAGACAAACGAGATAAACAACCATTCACTCTCTCATTCACACCTAGGGACAATTTAGAGTTACCAATCAGCCTAACATGCATGTTTTTGGTCTGTGGGAGGAAACCGGAGCACCCGGAGAAAACCCACGCATGCACGGAGAGAACATACAAACTCCACCCAGAAAGGCTCCTGGACTTGGGTTTGAACCAAGGACCTGCTCGCTGAGAGGCAGCAGCTCTACCAGTTGCGCCACCGTGCTGCCCCAATATTAAATACTAATGTTAAAAAATAATTAAACTCCAATGGAATAGATGTGTCTCAGCTTTTTAACTAGATTACAGTTACCAGTAAGTTTTTTTTCTTAATTAAACTAATGTCTCCGTTCACTGAACTTCATGGGAGCTTTGGAGCCCTCGTGCATTTTCCACACATCCGTTCATTTTTAGGGGAAATAAAAAGACATTTAGCCACCTCTGCTCCTCTGCTGTTTGGATTCGCACAGAAGCAGCTCAGCGCTGCATCAGCGTGTGCTTGGCCTCAACAGTTTGGTGTTGTAGACCCAGCAGTGACAGCAGGGTCAGAAGAATGGCCTTCATTTTCATGCCCCCTCATACGTACATGCTAATTTGTCTCAGAAGCTCTTTTCATGCAACACTGATAGGTTTGATATGTCTTTATTGTGCTTTAGTTTGCAGTAAAATATGTTGCTGTATTGAAAGATGTGTTTCTAAATGTCAACTACGGCTCACTTTTTTATATTACGTGCACATTACTTGTATTTGTCCTCAGATTAACCAGAAAATAGGCATGTTTGGAAGAGATTTTTAGGAAAACAACAAAAACAAAGTTACAGCTCTGCTTTAAGATTCAAACAATTCCTCAAAACTCAACACAATCAAAATGATTTAAAAAAAAAATCTTTGAAATTCAGAATTTATTGGAATTGTTTGGGAATTTTTGGCTTCAATAGTGGAAAAAAAAAATCTTTAGTCTCAGCAAACATTTTATGTATTGTAAATATATAAAAGCAAAAAAAAACTGTTTAAAATAGAATATTTTGATATATTTAGCTTAAAAACAGAAATCAAACTATGGTTCTTGTTTTGGAAATAGGGGAAAAAGGAAAAAAAATCAGTCAGAATCGACTCTGACCTTGACTTGACTTTGACCAGGTCATTCCAGGACATTTAAATGTCTCTTAAACCACTCAACTATCACTTCAGCAGTATTCCCTTAACATAGACATCCCACTCTCATTTCTCAGGAAAACTGAAACATCCACACACGATTATACACCCAAAACCAGGATTCACTGCGGGAACGGCGTTAAGACGGGAACATGTTTGAAACTGAGTCACGTGTGTTCATTTGTAGTTTTATCTGACCACGGACTTTCCTCCATGATTTATAGTCTGACTTTTTCAGGTCATTATGTTATGCAGCGTTGTAATGTCTGGCTTTTAGCGTTGTCCTACAGAGCGCACACTTATTAGATAAAACCCAACAGGAGTACAAGCTGTTCTTAAATTGTAAAGAACACAGTCCACACTCCTCTTGTCCCGCTAGATAAACGGTGAAACTTCAGCAGCTCTCACGGTCATGCTGTATCTGTCCACTGAGATTCTGTTTTCAATGCCTCTTCTCCCTTGTTGCCATAGTTACAAGCGAGTGGTGACCCCCCGGCGAGCTGGGACAGCGGTGTTATTGTGTTGGCTGGTTTCCATTATTGTGGGTCTCATGCCGATGTTGGGCTGGAATAACCTGCAGCGCCTCCTCACCAACGGCACCTTGATAACTAAAGACCTTGTGGTGACCTGTGAGTTTGAGACGGTCATCAGCATGGACTACATGGTCTACTTCAACTTCTTCGGCTGGGTGCTGCCCCCCCTGCTGCTCATGGTGGCCATCTACTTGGAGATTTTCTACATGATCCACAAGCAGCTCAACAAAAAGGTACGGCTTTGCTTTTTTATTTTGGGCTAACATAAAGCCGCCATTTTGTTCTTATTTAAGCAGCTTGACAACAACAGTGATCATTTTTTAAAATTCTCATTGTAGGTGACAGCAAGCCACACAGATCCAAGGCGTTACTTTGGGAAGGAACTTAAATTAGCCAAGTCTTTGGCTCTGGTTCTGTTCCTCTTCGCAGTCAGCTGGCTTCCACTTCACATCCACAACTGCATCACTCTCTTCTGCCCTGACTGCAACACGCCGGTGTTCCTCATTTACATTGCGATCATCCTCACACACGGTAACTCAGCCGTCAACCCCATCGTATACGCTTTCCGGATCAAGAAATTCCGCACAGCCTTCCGGAAAATCTGGAAACAGTATGTGCTTTGTCGGGATCCAGTTGGTCGACTTCCTCAAAGAGGGAGCCAGAGAGGACGAGGTAACGAGACAAGGCTGCGGCAGAATGATGATGACGATGACGATGTGTGACCTTTGGCAGCTAATTGCACGAAAAGTGCAATTGTGCACATGCAGTTTGGGACAATGTGGAAAAAAAGAACAAGAAAAATCTGAATTTTTATGCCTGATTTCTGATCAGGATGGCATTAATACTGGGGGACACTAAAAATGGAGGGAAATTATTTTCTCCATTAATCGTGCTCCAAAAGAAATAGGTTCCCAGTCATATGTAGATTTGGATTGAAGCTTATTTTTGGCTGACAAATCTATAAAGACATTTTATAAGATATGGGGCTTTTTAAACAAAAGTTTCAACATTAACCTGTTGGATTTACTGTAAATCAGTACATATTTGTAGCAGATGTGGACAAAGTAGAGTTGACTGTCCTTATGGCCTTCAATGTGACTGATCCTAAATAATAATCCTTATACAAAACGTGCTACATAAAAATACTTCATTCTGTGGCCTTAAGGACAGAAGGAACTGAGAGTAAATGTGGTTTTGCGGAACAAGAATAAATGTGGTAAACTTTCGAGGTAGGAAGACTTTTGCACAGGGTGCATTGAGAGGATTCAGCACATGGCGTGCGGGCTGGCTGCACAGAAGAAGAAAAATCAACAAAATCAGGATTTTTGGTAAAACCTCTGCTTTTCTAATGACATACACAGCAACTCAACAGCAGTAACAGATGTTTGGTCCATTTTTTTATGTCAAGTTTGTTTTTTTACACATCTGAGACCATTTGACTGACAGGATGACTGACAGCTGCAAGCAGCAAAAAGCTTCTTGTTTTCTGTTTAATGTCAGAACGAACAGGCATAAAGGTCACACATCCAGTAGCCACATCCGTTTTTAATAGAAATCTGCTGTGCTCTTCCATCTAATACAAGGGTTCCCAACCGTGGTCCTTGAGGAACACCATACTGCATGTTCTAGTTGTTTCTCTGCTCCAACACACCTGATTCAGTGATTTAATTACTTCCTTAAGCTTGGCAGAAGCCTATTAATCAACCTTTCATTCAAATCAGGTGTCTTGGAGCAGAGGAAGGACTGAAACAAGCAGGGTGGTGTTCCTCAGGGATTCAGTCTTCACAGAAAAGTTAAATCATGTCATCTGGACAGATTCTTAATCTTATCATTTTATCCCTGTAATGTTATGCTGACCTTTGACCTTTTCAAAAGATACTCCTAACCATCAAGGTTCATGCTCAATAATCCAGGTAAAATATCCAACAAAGTTCAGTCAGGTCATCTGGACGGTTTCTTTTTTTTTTTCTTTTTTTTGTTGAGAGATGTTTCATCCTTCATCCAAAGGACTTCTTCAATCAGAGGAGTCACAAAAACTGTGTCCCACAAGCAGAACACTCCACACCAGTTTGCTGGTGATAAGATGGTTTCTGGGACCCACCCTCTCCCCCATCGACTCCTCCCAGGCAGCCACATTCAAAGTGGTTCAAAACATCAAGTTTCATGCTCAATAATCCAGGTAAATCCACGGTTACTGAGCATGAACCTTGATGTTTTGAACCACTTTGGCTGTGGCTGCCTGGGAGGAGTCGATGGGTGAGGGAGTGGGTCCCAGAAACCATCTTATCACCAACAAACTGGTTGATCCACTATGGGAGTGTGCTGTTTGTGGGACAGCTTGTTGTGGCTCCTCTGATTGAAGAAGTCCTTTGGATGAAGGACAAATGTTACCATTATCCTTAAAAGACATTTTAATTAATTGTTTTCACAGAGCAGGTGTAATCTGACTAGTGTTGAGACATCCAGGACACCAGTACTACAATCATCACTGTATGCAACTCATAAACTAGAGAAATGTTGATGGGAGATCATCTAAAACGGTGAGAGAACAGCTGCATTGTTGACTCCTGCAGCTGTTGGTTCAACAAAAAGCCTGAAAAATCAAAACTCTGAGCATCAAAATGTCACTGCGGATGCACAGATTCCAATTTGCGATGCACTATTTGCAAAATAAATTAGACGCATCAACGTTTAGTATGATTTTTTTAAATACTTTCAGGCTTGCTTTCTCTTCATGCTTTTTGTAAGGCTCTGCAAAAGGAAAAATCAGGTGTCACTTTGGTTTTTACATGTGTTAATGTGTCACTGATTTTTGTCTTTTGAAAGGGGGGGGGGGGGGTCTGAGAGGTTTTGGAATTAATAGAGTTTAGCATTTTAAAAGGCCAGCATAAAAGCCATCTGAAACCTGTACACATCTGATTTTCTATCGTGTTACAGAACCTAAAGTATAAAAACTGAATCTCACTCTAAACCCCCCCCCCCCCCCCCACACACACACACACACATATGCCTCAAACCAATACAAAAGACACTATTTCCAATGCTGCTACTGCCATAATGTCTCCAAGGATGTCTTTTCTTACTTTTTGAGGAGCTTTTAAAGCCACCACGTCTCTGGTTTAATTAATTTTAATGAGATGTCTGCACTTTGAACATTACTGAACAAAACCTAAATGAAGTGGACCCATGAATTTGCATCACTGATCAGCGGGAATCTCAAGAGCTCTGAAGTTTGAGCGAACAGAAAGCCAGAAACGCCAAAACGAAAGCAGCAGTGGAAGTGTTCCAGCAGCCATTTTTAAAGTTTCTGTCAAAGCTGTGAAGTTCAGACGGTCAGAAGACAAGAATCAGTCTTTTATATAAACCATTTCAATAAACTGTGACTGTATAACTGTGTTCCTCTATTTTTTTAAGTATTTGTTTGGCATCTTATTTGCTCATCAGAAGGGGATACTCTGATTTAATTGTGCAAATTAGGGAGCACAAGTAAGATTAATAAGAGAACTACACGTAAAAGTGAAAGCCCTCATGGTAAAAACAGACCTTGTGAATTTTATTCTGTACAGTTTATATGATGACATTGTTTTATTTCCATCATGTCATTGCCTGTGTTTGCCATGTTAGAAACATTTCTCAACAGCCAAAGGACTGGTTTTACTGAAACTCAGAAATTATTCAATGCACATCTGGAGTCAGCTCAGTTCAAGATGGCTGCCACAGCTAATCGTAATGGTTATAACAATTAATTTGACAAGTATTGCGTTAAAGTTTGGTGGGATAGTAGCTGAGAGTCACCCTGAGCATCAAATACACACAGTCTAGTGTTACTGAAGGTTTGTTCACCAAAGCAAGTCATAGAGACAAATGAGAAGTTTTGGCAGAACATGTTAATTTTTTGCACCAGGTCTTATAAAAGCACCAAAGTCAGGTGATACCCGTCCATTCCACTCCCCAGAATCTGCCCACAGTCCTACCTGCCATGTGACGCACTGCTTCACTGTCCTGTCCGACTGTTGGAGAGACCACAAAGATCGCTTGCTCTTACCTGGAGGTGTTCAGTCTCAACCCGGAGGTGTTCAGTCTCAACCTGGAGGTGTTCAGTCTCAACCTGGAGGTGTTCAGTCTCAACCTGGAGGTGTTCACAGGCTAACACCGTTTGCCCATTGGGCCGCTCAGTTGTTCATTATCCAACATGTCAGCCTCACCCGTCATCATCCAACATGTCAGCCTCA